AAACTGAAGTAGAGTATTATAAATTACCAAAAGATCAGGTACCTTGTGGGTGGAGCTGGAATTTGAACTCTGAGCCCTCATGCCGCACAGCCTCATGGGGAATCTGAGGCCCTATATGGCCTCCCCTTTCGAGCCACCTCTGCCCCCACTGTAGGCAAACATGCTCCCCTAAGGGTTCAAACGAGCACACTCAAAACCTAGGTGTAACTGCTGGACCAGGCTGATAATAATTACTATTTGCATTGTGCTTGCACAGTTCCCATACTCATCGCACCCCCACAACAAGATGCTGAAGTAGATAGCCTTATTATCCCCATTTTGCAGATGAAGCAACTGAAGCTCAAAGAAGTTCAGCGACTTGTTCAAGGTTGCCCAACCTGTAAGGGCAGAGTCAGGCCTTGAGCTCAGGCCTTCAACCTCCAAAGCCCAGGCACATTCCACAAGACCAAGTGCCCCAAGAGGCTTAACCAGCAGCCTCACCCACTGCCATTTGCATTTCAACAGGGCAGGAGTCCTTCCACCCAAGAGTGAGGTGCTAATGGTGGAATGTCAGGCACCAGCAGGCTAGTGGATCTGCCAGGGGGCCTGGACTATTGGAAAAAATAGAAGACCTGTAGTAATGTCACATATGAGGTCTTCTTGCCCTATTTAGAAAGCCCCACTCTTGAGAAACCCTCTTCCCCACTCTAAGCCCTGGGTATAAGGGACAAACACATACATGTATATATCTAAAAGGCCTTTGTGGGTTCTGCCTGCAGGGCTGGGGGGCTTGAAGGGAGAGTTCTATTTGGATTTTTTCTTTTAGTTTGAACCCCAAGTGAAAATAGGAAGGGAAGGGGCTGGTGGGACCCTCTACTTGCCCTTTAAGTCTCATTGTTTCCTGTGGAATAGGAGACTTAAGCCAGGGCTGCAGGAAGCAGGTAGGGGAAAGAGGATCTGCCTCGAACCTTTAAACATTGTGAGCTGATCTTCTTTGTGGGGCTCTCTGTGCACTGTGGTATGTTTAGTAGCATCCCTGGCCTCAACCCGCTAGATCCCAGTAG